GAGATCTCACTGGGACCCTCGGAACTTATCCGTGTGGTCCTAACTATTCAGTGTTTAACGGTGTGATTAAAGAGCACAATTAACAGTGCCGTTATGATTACGAGACGGTTGGAGAGACGGTTGGAAAGAAGAAGAAAGAAGAAAGAAAAAAAAAAAAAAAACGATGCTGTTAACGGTTGAAGAAACGTTGCCTCTCCTTCCCAATTAATTATGACACACTGAAATTGGAAAAAATAGAGCCTCTCGGCTCTCAGGACTCAGTGAGTTGTTTGGCTTTCTGGTTACGTTTAGTGACATAATTAGACTCACTTGGCAATAGGCTTTATGTCGACTGATAGAGAGACTTTCCTTTTACAATTGGTGGTTGAGCAGGTTGGAAACTAAAGTAGCAAAGTGCAATTTCTTGGCTGAAAGAAGGAATAGCTCTATAACAAACAAGGGTAATAATGTGCTTTGCAATCCCAACAAATTAAATTACTTGCAGGCAGGCTATCACCTTCAAAAATGGGAGCAAGATGTGACATGATAACAAAAAGATATGCATATCATTTCTCTTGGTGGCCAATCATATCTTGCAGATTCATGGAAGATGCCTATAGGGCTCAAACCCACTTTAAGTTTGTGCAATTTATTCATTGAAGTTATTCACCTTTAGATAATAGGTGATATGACCTTAGAGAGGATGTGTTGCATAAGGTAATTTTCATGTGTTACCATCCGATAATTTACAAGGGGTTCTCTCAATGGCTTCATTGAGATTTTGAAGAATAGGTAAGTTATGGAATTTTAGGCAAAAAGATAACAACAGTTCGAGGCGGAGAAGTCATGTAGAGGTATGGGTTGATAGTTTTCGAGCTCTTCCCAGATGGGTGTGATATTGAGATAAAATTCGAGCTTTTTGTTTCAAATTGCATAATTGTTCTTGTAACTCAACAATTCTAACCAAATCACCAAGCTTGTAAGTATTCCAATTGAGTGTTTTCCATGTCTCATGAGTTGTTTGAAGCTTTGAACATCTTTGCCAATCAATTCATCAACTGCCCGCAAGATCTAGCTCTTCACTATCGTGTTGCATTTAGTCAAGAGTCATTTTAGGTCATCTCTCGGTCGTGATTAGTGTTGCATTTAATCAAGAATCATTTTAGGTCATCTCTAGGTCGTGATTATGGGAAACGTTTATGTACTCTGGTCATTGTAATTGCTAGTTGTAAGTTTGAGAGAGATAAAAACTTGCTAAGGCGGCTCAGATTCATGAATATTGCATGGATCTAACAATGCGTAGTTATACATACTACCTGAGTTGCTACTGATAGTGTTTGTAACTTCTACCATGATTGGCCGTATTTAAGGAAGAAAATGAAAAACAAGTTAAAGAAAAAGAAATAAAGGAGAAGAGTTTAGGATTTCAAAACCCTAACCAAACTTCGTTACCATAAAAGTAAAAATTCTCCACATAAAATTGAAAAAGTGAAAGTATTCTCTTCATTGTACCATTTCATTCATATATATCCCAATTCCCAAGTGTGCATATTACAAGAGAAAATAGCCAACTCGAGTGGGTGAAGAAGGTAAACAGTAAAATGTGAAACTGAAAAATTAATCAAGGACATTATCGATTGTTGGAGACACACTTGTGTATCAAGTGATCATTCAAGCTTCGAGCCATCCTCAGCTGATCCAGATTTGAGACTGGGTGATGTAGAAAAAACTGTGGTTTATTTGCTTTGTATCGTTATTAAGGGAGTTGCACTTTTGTTTACGTGGTTATTGTTGGATTTTTTAGTGGTGTGAATGGAAATGAAAGGGGAAAGTTCCAAGAGAGTCTCTTGAAGTATCATGTTGGTAAAATGTTGGAAGGCATGACCTTGAATTTAATCGATTTGATATAATATGTGGTTAATCGGTTAAATTGGTTTGCATACCAAACATACCAAACCATACCGAGTTGAACCAAATCGAACCGAACCGATATGGCGGTTGGAATAACCAAACCGGTCCAAATACCATGGGTTGAACCGATGCAATGGTTCATTATTTTGAAAACGAAACAATGTGTTGGTTGGGGTGTATTAAAGGAAGCCCTTCGTGGATGCTTTAAGATCGAACTCATTATTCAAATTATGAGAAGAGTTCAAAAAAAATCAAATATATTTGAATTTGAAGAATTCACAATGTATTAAAGGAAGCCCTTCGTGGACTAAAAGGTGGTTTGATAGTTGTAAACTATTCAGAGGGAAAATATAAACAATCATAGGTGTGCAAATCCTAGGGTTCGAGGCTAGTGGGGACTTGTGTATCAAGTCTATCTAAGCCGGAATGGTTGCAAACCGTATGTTCAAAGTAAGTTGAACATAGTATTAATGAGTAAATACCTCCAATCGGGTGGAGATGTAATTTGGTTAATGCATGGCTAAAGAATTGCATTACGAGAAAGCCACAAGCGATAAGAAATTATAATTTGTACAATGCTTGTGGAGGTATGATAATTTATTTATCATGTATATGGTTTAGGACTTGATGTATCCTATGCCTTGAGGGCAAAGAAAATGAAGCTATGATTGATCCTTATATGGATTTAATAAGCTTTCCAAATGATGGTCGTCATCAAGATAAGCATTAGGTCAGAATTGTTTATGATATAAGTACACTATACCATTGGAAAATAATTTGACTTACGATTATTGTGTGTAGCTATGTGTTAGAATTGTTTATGGTATATATAGACATATACCATTGAAAAACAATTTGGCACGAGAACTCAATTGAGGTGCTCATATATAGACATATACCTTCGTAAGCACCCCTTCATTTTCTATAAATAGCACCTAACCCCCTCTGGTTTTTAACAGAGATTTTTCCGGACCAAAATTATGCCAAAAACCACAACTAGTTTTTTGCATTCTTTTCAAAGAGAAAATCGAGTCAAGTGTGGTTCTCGCCGGTTCGCTGCGTTCGATGGGTTCCAGGGTTTGAGGTACCGCTACGCCGGAAAAGGTACGTCCTTTCTATCCTGGGAGGAATCATTTCATAACTTGGGTACTAGAGGGGAATAAGATTCGTTAAGGAGAGATAGTTAATTCTATCAGCTAGGACGCTTGCATATATCTTTGCATGTTTTCTTAAGCTTATGTGTTTGCTTATATTGCAAGAAAAATAGTTACGTGAACAATTTTCACAACAGTTTTAATGAAATGTTATCTATCTTAATTGAATTTATAAGAGATAGGTACACATAGCTCTTATTACCATTGTTGTTTATTAGTGCATTGCAAATTGTCATTGCTAGCCAACGATTACTATTGTCGTTCACTCGTTTGACACTGCCACTAGGTAATTGCAACATTAGATTGTTTTCTTGTGTAAATATTTATGTTTCTAGCAATGGTTTTTAGTTTAGATTTTGGGGTTCTTTTACATTAATTTGTAATTTTTGTATATGGATCATTTGAATATGTTATGAGTTCTTTTGTAAGAGGGGTCTACGGAATGGGGATTTTTGTGTGTGCGCGCGTGATCTTGCTAGTTTTTGGAACGAATTCACAACTCACAACTTTGTGGTATGAATTTGATATGTTTATTATATACTTGCAATATACATGGATTCAGATATTTATTATATATCGATAATGAGAGTTTGGTCTGGTACCATCATTAATTTTCACTTTGAAGATCTCGGATCGATAATGAGAGTTTGGTATGGCAAAAATTAAAGATATAAATTGGATTCATATATTTCTAATATGTACTTCTCCTAATTTACAAGTGTCCACTCCCATTCATTACCTATCGATTAAAATTTTGTTGAGTAGTTTCACGAGCTCAATATAGGCCACTATGTCTCATTACCTACGGGATGCATGAGCTGGCATAACCCACCTGCAAGCGTAGTCCCTCTTCTTCAGAACACTGTGATGGGTATTACCTTTGAGTGTCGGGTTGTGGCAAGCTCATCCCCCTCTAGCTAATCTGACTCTGTAATCTTTCTGCTTCTAGGCCTCGACCTCCTTTCTATGAAAAAAATAAAACATAAAAAAATACAAAGGTCACTATGTCTCAATGGTTAGAATAGTTTGATTTAATTTGGTGTGTGGGGGGGAGGGGGGGCAAAAAACTTTTGTAAAAGAAATGGGACACTTTTCGATCAATTAGAAAGTGAGTTTTGCATCTGAGGATGGTTAAAATGTTGTTGTCTAAAATCCCGGGAAAGCATGTCGACCTATCATCTTTTTCATATGTATATATGCGTTGGTGATTTTTAAGGTAATAATGAGATGAGATGCTCGATTCTTTCAACGTCATCAAAGTAATTAGTAGATAAGGTTAACGGGAAAAGGGTTAACTATTCCTTTGCCCTAAGAATATTAGAGCGAGTGTTTGCTAATAAACTCAAAGCAGAGGGATTAAATGGACCGTTTGCCCTAAGAATGTAGTTAGTGGGCACAGTTGATTGCTTTTGGAAGGGTCTCATTGGTTGGATATATTATATATAGGAGAGTGGTGTTGAATGGAGTGGTATTATACTCTTAACTCTGAAAAATTAAAATGTAAGTCTTAATTTTATAAATTTCATACATTAACATCAATTTAACATTAACATCAATTTAATTAGAAACAATAATCGACGGTCATGATTCGTCAAAATACATCCAAAAAATTATATGCACCATCTTAGTGTTTAGTAGCGCTGAGAAAATAGATCAGACCATTAGAAAAACCGTGGTCCAAACCGTACCGCACATTTGATCCAGATCGTAGACCGTTAAGTATGGTCTGGAGACGTCCATGGTCTGCATTATATGATGTTTTGATCTCTTGGTCTGGTATAGTCTAGACCACGATTTATCGGACCAAATAGTGGACCCAACCGACTTGTCAATACGTGATGAGAAATCCTATTTTTCTCTCTTGTTCTTCCCTAATTCTCAATTCCAATCCCTAATCCCTAATCTCTTTCTCTTCTCCAAAGACCTATCCTTATATCATTTGGTATCGGAGCCAACATGAGCTCGTCACAGCTCTCTGATCCGGAATGGGCTCAACTCAAACGGCAGCTCCAGCAATCCCTCGTCGAGCTCGATCGGGAGGCGCATGAGCGAGGTTGGGTGGTGGCGGCCGAGCCACCGCGTGGTGCGGCGCCGACCGAGGCAGACGCAGGGAAGTGCCTCGCGGCGGCGGTGACAGGCGGGGCGGCGGCGCGGGCGGATCAAGAAGAGGAGGTCGAGCCGCGGGGCTGTGCGGCGCCGATCGAGGCCGACAATGTTCTGCAGACAATGTTCGAGATCTTGAGGCATCACCAGTACTTTATAAAGGCCCCGAAGTGTGCTTTTGGGGTGCAGAAGGCGGACTACCTGGGGCACATTGTCACTCCACAAGGTGTTCAGGTGGATAAGTCCAAGATATAGGCGATGGTGGAGTGGCCGGTTCCGACTAATGTCACCGAGCTGCGAGGATTTCTAGGTCTGACAGGGTATTATCGGAAGTTTGTGTAGGGATACAGCATGATTGTCAGACCTCTGACGAACCTATTGAAGAAAGGTGGGTTCGCATGGTCCCCCAAGGCCGATGCAACTTTTAAGAAATTTAAGAAGACAATGTCGACCACACCGACTCTGACCACGCCTGACTTCTCCAGACCGTTCGTGATCGAGGCGGACGCATCAGGCAGGGGTATTGGCGCTGTTTTATCACAGGATTGCCATCTGATTGCCTACATGAGTAAGACTCTGGCTCCATCAAAGGAGGCTTGGTCTACCTATCAGAAAGAGATGCAGGCAATCATCACTGTAGTACAGATGTGGAGGCCGTATATGTTGGGGCATAAATTCCACATCTACACTGATCATCAGAGCCTACAGAATCTCTTGGAGCAGCGGGTGTCTATACCGGATCAACATAAGTGGATTTCAAAGTTGTTGGGCTATGACCACGAGATCCATTAAAGACCAGGGCCGACCAATGTGGTCGCGGATGGGCTGTCTCGACGGCAGGGGGAGGTGTTGGCGGCAGTGACCGGGCCAGTACCACAGTTTTGGGACGCGCTGCGCTCAACGACTCCGACCCATTTCTACTTAGTTGTCGGGAAATCGTGGATAGCGAGGCCTCGGGCAACTATTCTTTTCGACAAGGCTGGGTGTTCTTTAGGGGGCGCTTGGTCCTTCCTCGATGGTCATCTCCGGTGACGACAATTTTGCAGGAGTTCCATGATTCACCATACGGTGGACATTCCGGGGTGGAGCGGACACTTCGACGGATCCGGGCTCAGATTTATTGGCCACAGATGAGTTAGGATGTTAAGGACTACGTGGCCTCTTGTGACTTGTGCCAGCGTGTCAAGGCTTCTCATTTGCGAACGGCTGGTCTACTTCAGCCGTTACCGCTACCAGAGCGGGTATGGGAGGATATCATTATGGATTTCATTGTGGGGCTTCCACCGTCCGGGGGGCAAAAGTGTCTTTTTTTGGTGTTGGATCGGCTCACGAAGTATGGCCATTTCATGGCCCTAGCGCACCCCTATACGGTGAATATAGTGGCAGAGCAGTTTGTACCGGGAGTGGTTCGCCATCACGGATTTCCGCGGTCGATTGTCAGTGACCGTGATTCCGTCTTCTTGAGCCGCTTATGGCATGAGGTTTTCGCCCTTGCATAGACTACACTGCGGATGAGCTATGCATATCACCCGCAGACCGATGGCCAGACCGAGGCGGTCAATCGCTGCTTAGAGTAGTACTTGCACTTCTTTGCACATCAGCAGCCGCGGAGGTGGTTGGCTATGCTTCTGTGGGCAGAGTTATGGTATAATTCTACCTATCATTGGACTATCCAGAACACACCATTTGAGGTCTTGTATGGCAGGCCGCCCCCTTCCCTGATCCGCTACAAGAGTGGTGCTAGTCCGGTGGATGCAGTAGATCGGTGGATGGGAGCACGGGACGAGGCTTTAGAGCATCTCAAGACCAATCTTGCCGCCGCGAACAACAAGATGAAGCAGCTGGCAGACGCAGGGCGGCGTGAGGAAGAGTTCGAGGTGGGGGATTGGGTGTTGCTTTGCCTGCACCCCTATAGACAGGCTTATGTCTTTTGGCGGGCATACCAGAAGCTCACCGCCTGATTCTTTGGACCTTATGAGGTACTGCAGAAGGTCAATCCAGTTGCTTACCGCCTTCAGATACCCGCAGCCGCACGCATACATTCGACCTTCCATGTATCTCTTCTGAGGAGGTATCGTGGGTCGACAAATCGGGTCAAGACGATGGCCCTGCCAGTTTCGGAGGATGGGGACTTGGAACTGACTCCATTACAGGTGTTGGACACTCAGTGGTCGAAGAAAGGTGGACGCCTAGTCGAGGAAAGCTTGATTTTGTGGCGACACATGGAGCCGGAGGATGCTACTTGGGAGGAGACGACGATCACTCGCCAGCGCTTTCCGACGTTCCACCTTGGGGGCAAGGTCGTTCTTGATGAGGGAGGGAATGATGCGAACCCGCGTCCCGGCCCGGGTCAGTAGAGGGGGCGGGTTGGCCGAGTTGGCCAGGGGAGGAGTGACATTTTGGTTATTTGTGTTATTTGTCTGGAACTCATACAAAAGGGTTCAGAACACTCATTTTCAGATTAAGCAATAAGAATATCAAAACCCTAAATCCTATTTCTCTCTCTTGTTCTTCCCCAATTCTCCTCAATCCCTAATTTCTCAATTCCAATCCCTAATCCCTAATCTCTTTCTCTTCTCCAAAGACCTATCCTTCTATCAATATGTGTTAGAATATGACATTATGTTAATGTTTATGACGTTATGAATTATGATACAAGTTAGGAATTAGGATTGCTTTGACTTTGTATCTTTGTTATGTACTGAGATTTAGGGTGTCAATATGACAATATTATTCATGCGCGTTGGAATTTATATTTTAAGGAAGAAAAATAAATTATTGGCTATTGGTTCAATTTTTTGTGTGGTTGACTTCTCTAATTGTTCATTTTTCGTTGAGTGTGGTTTATATGGACCATACCGTACTGAACCAGACTGCACATACACGGTCTGATCTGAACCATATAGTCTGTGGTTTGATATGTAGTCTATACTCCTATCTCTCGGTCTTGACCAAACCACACTGTTTCTCAGCCCTAATGTATAGGGTCTATGATTTAGATGATTAAAACCTAGAGTCCACCTATCCTTCTATCAATATGTGTTAGAATATGACATTATGTTAATGTTTATGACGTTATGAATTATGATACAAGTTAGGAATTAGGATTGCTTTGACTTTGTATCTTTGTTATGTACTGAGATTTAGGGTGTCAATATGACAATATTATTCATGCGCGTTGGAATTTATATTTTAAGGAAGAAAAATAAATTATTGGCTATTGGTTCAATTTTTTGTGTGGTTGACTTCTCTAATTGTTCATTTTTCGTTGAGTGTGGTTTATATGGACCATACCGTACTGAACCAGACCGCACATACACGGTCTGATCTGAACCATATAGTCTGTGGTTTGATATGTAGTCTATACTCCTATCTCTCGGTCTTGACCAAACCACACCGTTTCTCAACCCTAATGTATAGGGTCTATGATTTAGATGATTAAAACCTAGAGTCCACTTATATAGAGTTGGAGTAAAGTATCATGCAAGTGTATTTGGTAACGGATATGCTTATACAATATTAATGTTGATTCAACGACTTCACCAAATCCTTTACAAACTTTTATGATGATGACGCTGATTCATTATTATTAATGTTAATTCAACGGCTTTCACCAAAACGTTTTCTAATTTTGGTGGAGGGACTTGATAGCATGCTTCCGTAAGTGGTAGTTGTCCATATCAACTACTATTTTCATCACAATGAATAGTTGGCCCAAACCTTACTTAACAAACACAACATATATATTATATGGGAGTTATGGGAATTAAAGGGTATTCAATGTAAATTTGAGGTTATGAAATATCCTTAATATAAAAATGTTATATAGACCTTTACTTTATAGAAGGTCTTTGGCATAATACTATATCATTATAACTTCATGAGTAAAAATTTATATTCTAATTCTCTAAATCCTAAGATCAATTTAATAAAAAATAATAATAGACCGTTTTGGTTGTTTGAAATACATCCAACAAATTAGATGCATTATTTTAAGGTTTAGAAAATTAAGATATAGAATTCACTTATTAAGTGCTAGGATTTAATTAGTACCATACAACCACATCTAACTAATTCGACGTCTAAATAACCTTTCTTTATTAAGGGTATAATGTTACCCTCATGTTTCTGTTAGCTGCCATAGAACTATAGAAGGCACCAAGTATTGGACTCCATAAAAAAGAAAACATTTATAAGGCCTAGCTGGGATAGATGCCGAGTACAAAGAGAGTAAAACTTGAATGATGAAATGAAGGTATGAAGCATGGTTTGTAAAATCGTATAGGAAGTCATACCAGACTTGTTTAGGGTAGGGTGTTTTGTGGTACGATCGTGGTTCAACCATTTCGTACCAGTAACATACCGTTTTTTAATAATAAAAAATATTATTTTGTCAAAATACCTTACCGGTAAAATCAAGGTACCATTCCGGAGTAATACCATAATAAAACCAAATTTCGAACTATTTTTCTCCAACCCTCTCACTACTTTGCAACATCACGGTATCTAGTTTAGCCTATCAAAAAAATTAAAAATTAAAAATCCCAAATCCGAATTTCAGTTCTTCCCCAAATTCCCCACTTCATCATTCTAATTTACTTCACCTTCCCCAAACTCTCTTTCCGCATCGCCTCCCCTAACTGTTAGATCGTGGTATAAGATCCACGATTGAATCTCTCCCAACAACTCGAGTTATTGGGAGCAACTGGTTCATGACATGGTATCAGAGCTTAGAACCGAAAGGTCATGTGTTCGAATCTCCACGACCCCCAATATTAACCGTTATCTTTCAAGCACATGGTATGGTGGGCCTGTGCAAACTTCAAGCCCATGGGTTGGCTTTCGTTTGAGGGGGCGTGTTAGATCGTAGTATAAAATCCACGATTGAATCTCTCCCAACAACTCGAGTTATTGGGAGCAACTGGTTCATGACACTAACCATATCCAAAAACCCAAATCTCATCTCGCGTCCCTCTGTACCCATTTCTGCCCAAAAGAACACCCAGAAAATCCCTTAACTCGTATCTGCACCACCTCCGCCGAGGCCGCGAGCACTGGGCGCTGATGTCCAATATTTGTATGTATAGTTAAAGCAATCTTAAATAAATGAGTACCCATACCCAATGCAGTCAAAATCGCGTTTTAAAACTTAAAAATTTACGATTTACGCTTTTAGGTCACCAAAACGCTTTTATTTCCATATAAAAACTTAAGTGTATAAAATCGAACTAAATTGCGCTTTTACGCTTCTAGTT